CTTTCTGGGACAAAATGATTGATATGTACAAATTAAATGTGAAAGTAGTTTCGTTGGCCCAAGGTTTCAAAAGTTTCAGTCCATGGTTGGCTGAGTTCAAGGCCAAACCATTGTGCTAGAACAACATGGTGAATCATGGCTGCTCACTTCATGCAATCAAGAAGCAAAGCAGAAAAGAAAATCCCCCAAATGAAGGGGCAAGGAGCCTGATATTTTCTCTAAGGTCACATCTTCATCATTTACCTGGACACATTTAGAAATATTCTTTTTCAATCCCTTGAGAGTAACTGGAGTCCATTTCATTGAAAATCAATCAAGACTAACCATCATCTTCCATCTCTTGTCAACTTGACACCCATGGCTAATTCCATAAACCTTGCTTATGTCCAAAAATGGACAATAACCAGGTCATAATGGTGCCTAACATGATACAAATACCCTGTTTATATAGACAATGCACTATTCTTTCCCCTAAAGTCTCAATAATTTCAGTATTGCTTAAAGTCCAAGTGTAAATCTACCTTGAATCTCCCACTAAATTCTTGGTGACAAACCACTGTAAAATTTTAAAAAGCAACTTACATGCTCCCCAGATGCAATGATACAGGGTAAACATTTTCAATTGAAAATGGAGGAATAGAAGAATTGATTTTATAGGACCAAAGCAAGACTGAAGTGCACCAGGACAAATATGCCTGGTAGCTCTGTCTCTAGCATCTCTGGAAGTGCTGGTGGAAATGAGGTCTGGATGGCTTGGGAGCCTTCCCCTCCCCCATCTCTGCCACCATCAAGGCGGGGCTGGTTGCAGCCCACATAGCCTCTCCTGGGCTGAGTCCACCCACTGCCTGAAGCTCTCCTCAGCAGATGTTCCATGTCCCCATTATTTCCAATTTCCTGGAATCTCCACTGCACCTTGGCTTCCTCCCCACACCTTCAGAGATCCACCTCTAGGGGTCCCACTGCCTGGTCTCCCAGGTCTTACTTTGAAATATGGGTGGGAGCCTCTGTGACCCCACTACTGTTGCATTCTGCATATCTGAAAAGCCACCTGGCTAAAAGGAGTCAGCAATACACATTCCACAGCCTGAATGGTGGGCTGCCTTGAAATTTCCTGTACCTGGTCATTTAGTCCACCAACCTGAAATTCAACATTCTTTAAAATGTCAGAGAAAATGTACACAAGTCTATAGAGGCAAAATGTAGACAAGTTATTTTCCATATTATAATATGCATGTCCACTAGCTTATTTCCCAATAGAGTACCCACTCCCATCTGAAAACTCATAAGCCTGTCCTTACAATATGCGTTCTTGTTGTCATTCTGGTCTTCTGAGCTCTGACCAGGATTATCCATTTGTAACTCTTATTTATAGTATATTAGGTTTTCTCTAGCTTAGTTCTCCAAACTTTTTCAAACTCTTTGTTCAAATAAGTTCCAAAGTTTTCTGAACAGCATGTCAGAAATAATCAGAGCAATGAACCCACTACTAGGTACCTAGTTGCTGTATTGGTCAGCTTTCCTACTTCAAGGACAAATGCCTGACATATGCAACTTAAAGGAGAAAATGGTTTATTTGGTTCATGGATTCAAGCATTTCTGTATATGGCCAGCTGGTGTCAAGAAATATCATAGCAGAAGGGCATGGTGGATCAAAGCTGATCACTTCATGGTGACCAGGAAGCAGGGAACAGAGGCAGAACATCTAAGAGTAAGGAGCCAAGGGCTAGATAGAGTCCTCAAGGTCATGCTTCCATAATTAACCCTGACACACCTAGCATAGCGCTTTAGTAATCCTCTAGATGTCTCTCAATACAATCAATTTGATATCAAGCCTAACAGTTACATTAGCAGAGCAAAAATTATATCACTATGAACTTTAATCAAAAAACGTTCAATGCAGTTCAAATTCACAATTATTCATAAAAGAAGGAATGATGATTCAATCACTTTTAAATATTACTCAGATCTGTTGGAATTTGTCAGTGGGAAAACTAGCCACAATTTTGTGATGGACTGTATATTTAGAATGTTTTATATTCTAATATTTTTTTCTTAATGTACTTTTTCAATATTGAGAATCTGAAGAATTAGAATTTACAGAAGCAAGGAAAACACTTCCCCTGGGAAATTATCTTCTAATCTTTTACATCTCAGTACAAGTAGGAGGCATGGAGTGAACTGCATTCAGCATCTGTTCATTCTTTGTAATGGTGTATCCCTATACCTATTTATCTACTACAATATACATTTCAAGATAGTAGTAATACATTTATCCAGGTTTGCTTTGAAAGCAGCACAGATCTGGTCCTCAAATTTCTAGAATAACTAAAATAGTTAAAATACTATATTAAAAGTTTTGCATACTATTAATGATTTGTAGGCCATATTCCATCAAAAATACTACCAA